CCCCATTGCACTGCCCACCCGGCACCCCAATAGTTGTAACTAACTGAACCCAAGGGAGGCACCCCAATAGCTGTAACTAACATAACCCAACATGTGTGCTAGCGAGGAGCACACATGTGACGAAGCATACATGCGTGAATCCGCTGCACGTTGGATGGGCCCCAAGACTTGCCCAACGGCCAGCCCAACGTCTGAAGCCCTCGTCAGCCCCGCCGGAACTATACAGCCATGTTCCTTGACTGAGGAAGGCCAACATCCCGAAATGGAAACCGTGTGTTTCCACTTCTGCCCAATCCCCTATCGGAAGGAGGGAGGCACGTTCATGAATATAGCCTCACGTGAGGTCTAGGTCGATGGACACTCATACTGAATTCAACAAACTGGGGACAAACGTACGAGGTGGCGAAGCACTCATACCTGACACGAATTTTGAGGGACCACGCCGTGGATCCAGGGCGACGGCATACACACCGCTGTTTTAAATTTAAAAAAAATTGTCATTCTCGGATGTTTATAAATCCGAGAAACTATTATAAAGCAATAAAAAGAGGGCGAAAATGCGTCACACATCGTAAAAGACTTGGCTAGTGGGTCCGAGCCCCAGACAAGGTATCTGGAAGCATCATCCAGCTTTTTTTTTTTTTTTCCTTTTTCTCTAAACAACACCCCCCCGGTGCCAGTGGCGTTGATAAGAACAGACACCACTACCACCCGGGGAGAGGCTCCGTCTATTGGTGGGGAGCATCACCTGCTAAAAAACGGGTCCAGTGTCCCATATACAGAGTGTCATCAGAGAACATCAGAGAAACAATCTTGCCAGCTTGATTACCCTGGCTTACAGGGGATTGACTGAGCAGGACGTTGGAAAAACTTGGGAGAACGAATTTTTTTAGAATCAACAACTGGAAAAACCTGCCAATATTGACTGCTTTGGACTCCAGAGCTGGTTGTGAAGGCTCTTTAACTGTAATCCACCTGTAATCACCAAACCAACTGTCCATAATCTGCAGACTCCATGGGTCTGGAAACAACAGCCCTCATGCAGGAAGATGCCTGAGATGCATAGACAAGTGTAGCAGGGGTCCAGCTGATCCCCTTTTCCTTCTTCGACCCTTCATCTGGTCAGAGTACCGAGAGGAGCCATTGCGGGGCACCAGCGGGTCCTCCCGACACCCAGCCCTTCCTCGAACGGTCCCCTTGCGACCATGCAACCATGCAGTCATCTGTCGGGTATAGCCAGCTGTCATCCCTCCCTGTTCTGTCAATCTCGCTTCTTTTTTACAATGGAATACATTGGAATACATCAGAAAAACTTGTAGGAGGCTCTTCACCCTGAATTCGGCGCCAGATTTCAACTGCTACGTGCTGGCCCCTCCCTCCCTCCGATAGCCCCAGTCCCTTTCTTGACGATGCACAACGAACCCTAATGAAGAAAATGTAGCATGTGCAACGCAGGTGGCCTCTGTCTCATTCTGCAGTCTATGACCGGTTCCGGGGTCCGGGAGGAGCCACTAGGGGGCACCAGTGGGACCTCCTCCCGAACCTTGCTCCACCTCCTTTCTTTCGAAGGATTCCCCCTGCCCCCTCTGTCTCATACTGCCGGAAGCCAAAAAACAAAAAAGGCGGTTTTGACGCAGCAAAACGCTGCAGTTGGGATGTGAGGAGAAAGAGGGTTTGGATGACAGAGGTTTACAGGCATATATCCAGGGAACTCGGGTGGGGAGGGAAGGGGTCAGGGAAGTCCTCTGCAGGTCTTATGGGTATACTCGAATCGATTGACAGCCATTCCTTAAATCTCAGGTGGTAGTCCCGTGGGACCTCCTTATCTCGTGTATCCTCCCTTCCTTCTTCACCTCCCCAGTCCCCTGTCCAACATACTTCCGCTACCCATCCTTCCCGGTCCCCCCCCAGCCAGTCTCTGGAGAACTGAAGTAATCGTTCCCGGATGTCTTTGGGTCTATGAAGCGAATCGAGTACTTGCTTGGTTCACTTCCACCTGTGCGAGAGTTGCGTTTTGAGCTGTTCAACCCTCTCTTCTCCTTCTACTCGGGCATGGTCTAAAGTTAGGACACAGCGTTGCCACCACAGGACCCAGAGAATAGTTCTTCGGGACAGGTGGAACATATTGGACACAAAAAAATTATCTTGGAAGGGTGGGTAGTGACCTATCAAGATGGTCCGCCAATCCCACGGCCATGGATGCCCTGGGACCATTTGCTGCCACACCCTATCCCACCACCTTCAGGTCAAGGTTGCAGTTGGACATTGCAAGAATGTGTTCGATTGTCTCTGCTCTCTTTCTAGCCGGAAAACCCAGAAGGCAACGAGAGCACCACGGGAGCGCACGGCCCTGTTGCTCCAACTGCGAGTGGTCAATCAGCCAGTTGTTTGTAGGTAAGCATCGGTGCAAGATCTGCCACTGTAGGGACGTGATTTTCGTCGATTTACACTTTGTGTCACGGAACCAGCGAATCGGTGTGAGAAACTGTCTCTCCATATTGAGGTGCCTCTGCCATCTATCGATCACCGTTTCCTTTAGGCAGCACTACGTCGTCTTCACCGAGAGACCCGAGAGTGTTTTCGATTTTAGTTGGCGCGGGTGGTGCCAGATCCATTCCAGTGGGTCGATTGGTAGAAATGTTATAGCTAGCTCAGGAAGGAAAGTCTGTCGGTTGCCACCTTCTTCCATTACCCTAATGCGATGTAGTTCCTTCTTCAAGGTCCAATGAAGGGGATCCCGACTCCCTTCGAGATCTTCGTTCCGCTTTACACTGTACCATTCGAGCAGTACTTCGTCCGAGCGAACCAGGTGAACGAGGCCCACCTTATCAACCCTCCCTTCCTTTGCCACCCAATCTCCCTCCTTTAAAACCTGACCTCTACTCAGAATGGTCCACCATCCTATCGGGAGGGCTTCCGTTATTTCCTCGAAGGCCCCTTCTACATTGTGGCAATACCTCAATTCCGCCCTCAGTTTCTCCGGGCTTTTCCAGTCCTTCCTCTCCCCGTCCCATAGATCCCCCACTCTAGTCACTCCATGCTTTACCCATCCTTTCCATGGGGCGTCGGTGCTGCAAAGAATCTAGCTTTGTTCGTTGGTGATCCACCTATTCCCAAAGAGGAGTTGTCTAGCCACCTCCACCTGTCCGGTGGTGGGCTATTTGGGGGAGGGAGTCTCCGCCAGATTTTTAGCAATCGGGGCCAGAAATCGTCCCTCCTCCCTTCCCCTCCCCGGGGCCGCCGAGGCACTCTCCAGTAGCGGTCCTCTAGCCATCGGAGAGGGTGAACGGACTGAGGGGCCTCAGGGGCCAGACGAGCGATTTGTGCCAAT